AATATAATATTAATATGTGAGTACAAGGAATACTCAATCCCGTAAACCTCCTCATGTAAATAATTCAGCAGTAAAAGGAGCTGATGTACAGGGAATCACCAAAATCCTAAAACAAGCTTAAATGTTCTCTCTTAAAACATTATCAATTAGTGATCGTCGAGAACTAAATTTTCTACCAAATGGCCTAGAATCTTGCATTTCTCTCCAGAACTTGATTATTAGGGACTGCCTCAATCTAATTTCTATTGCACAAGATATGGGAGGATTTCATTTGCTTACTTCTTTGACCATCTTAATTGCAAAAAAGTAAGAAGCATCTCAAAGTGCCCAAGTTACCTTAATAGTTTGGAGGACTTACGGATGGGTCCTTTTTGGTCAGAGCTAGTGGAATTCCTAGGACTCGAACTTCCTCCCATCCACCCCAACATCTCCATTGAATCTATTAGTTTGACGGGATGGGATAAACTAAAGTCTCTGCCACATCAACTACAACACTTTACTGCCCTGAAAGAATTAAGGATACAGAATTTCAACGGAGTGGAAGCTTTTCCAGATTGGTTGAGAGGCCTCTCTTCTCTTAATGCTTTAAGCATTACGTCGTGTAACAAATTAAAGAGAATTCCAGAAGAGTGCCTAGGTAGGCTTACCTGCTTGAAGGAGTTACGCCTTGGTCCTTTCTCATTAGAGTTGGAGGATATCCCAGGACTCACTTCCATCCATCACCTCCACGCCTCCCTCAATTATTTGACTTCGTATGGATGGGATAAACTAAAGCTACTGCCACATCAGCTTCGACATCTTACTGCCCTCAAGCAATTGATTGTAATGGAGTTCAATGAAGTGGAAGCTATACCAGAGTGGTTAGAACTTAGAAGACCTCTCTTCTCTATAGGATCTTAAGATTATTGATTATGATAATTTGAGGCATCTGCCTTCTGTTAAAGCCATGCATCGTCTCTCCAACTTACAACATCTTCATATTCATAATTGTTCCAAATTAAATGAAAGATGCGCTAAAGACATAGGCCCTGAATGGTCTAAGATTTCCCACGTTCCGGACACTGTTATCTGGTAGAGGACCCTTCAATCCCAGAAAGCTCTAGGTTCTGAAGAGAAGAGGTATGTTTAATTTAATTATAAAAGCTAATCTAGTGAGTGCTCAAATTCTTTTCCTTATTTCTTCTTCCAACAACACTTTTTCCCATTTGAATTACTCTAATTTTTTTTGTGTTTTAACTTACATGGGTTATCAATTTGTAATTCTTAAGCAGCAAAAGCCCCATCAGATAATTATCAAATGATGCCTGCGGACAAAACAGAGGAGTGCATGGCCACACGGTGGAATCCTAGCAAGCGACCAAGAGCTTTCACTTTAAAGGTCCTTTTTTTAAAAAAATTTTAATTTTTTTTCATAATTCTTTTTCAGATTTTGAATGATAAATGAATTCAACAAGTAAATATAGGCTTTCCCATCCCCATTAAAAGCCTTTGCCAAGAATCCATAAATGGAATACCTGCCAAATTGCTCAAAACTTGCCAGACCCTTCTTGCGTAATAGCACTTGAAGAAGAGATGTTCAGTAGTCTCTGAGTGATTGTTGCACAGTACACAAGTGTCAGTCAAAGTCGGAGGCCATTTCTTTTGCCTGGCTCTTGTTGTTAATCTATCCAGCACAGCTAACCACCAAATGAAGCTGTGTTTAGGGATTGATTGAGGGAACCAAACTAATTTGTGCCATGATACTCTAGCTTGCTTATTTCTTATCCAATGCCATGTTTTTCTTGCTTTGAAAGAACTAGAAGCTGAGGGAATCCACACCATACTATCCTTTTCACCCTCTTTAGGATATAATCTACCACATAGCGCTATTTGAATATCTAGGAGCTGAGGGGAGCGTGCAGGTGGCCATTTCCAGTAATTTCCATTAACCACCATAGCAAGCTTGGCATGGGATGGAATGCCTGCATCTTGAATAATTTTTGTACCATAAGTTTCTACCAGTGGACCAGAAGGATGCCATTTATCATGCCACAAATGAGTCTCAGTGCCATCTCCTGGGATATGCTGGATGAGCCCCCTAGCTCGTTGCCTAAGCTTGAGCAGTTTCCTCCAACCCCATGATGCATTTGAGGGAATTTTTACAGCCCAGAAACTTCTTCCTTTTAACAAATACTCATAAACCCAAGCAACCTAGGTGGAACCAGACTTCGAAAAGAGCATCCAAATGAAGCGCATTATACAAGCTATATTCCAATGCAACAAATTCCGCAAGCCCAAACCACCCTCTTGTTTTGGGTGGCATAAGGACATCCAACCAACTAACTTTGCTCCCCTAGCAGATTCTGTTGAGTTCTTCCATGAAATGCAGCACATATTCTTTCCACCTCCCTGATAACCTTTTTTGGCAGAATAAAAGTAGAGCACCAAAAGGTGGTAATTCCTTGTATAACTGCAGTGATGAGTTGCAATCTACCAGCAAAAGAAAGGTGCTTAGCACTCCAGGAATTCATCCTGTCAGTTATCTTGGAAATCAGGGGCTTCAGTTCTTTTTCAGACAGCTTTCCTGTTATTAATGGTACTCCAAGGTACCTAACTGGCAAAACACCAGCCTTGAAACCAAAATCCTCCTTGAGTTTTTCAATTTCATCATTAGCAAGGCCACAACAAAATATTTCTAATTTAGCGTAGTTAACCTTTAAACCAGAACAATAGAATCCATCAGCAAGTCTTTAGAACAGAAGAGGTAGTATGTGAAGAAGTGCAATTTGATGTGAAACACAAGATTTTAGGTTTTGCCAAGTTGAAATCCTCATCTCTACGTGTCTCCGTAGCAATTAATTGGGGGATTGAAGCTGTTGTGCAAGGATAGTATAGATTAAATAGTTTCTGCATTTTATTTTGTAGCAGCAACAAATTGTTGCTTGCTTGTGTATAGACAGTTGCTGGATAAATAAATTCACCTTTTATCCAAAAAAAAAAAAAAAAGGAGTAAATAGAGGCAGTCTATGTGTGTATATACAATATTTGCCTCATGTTAGTTCACTCATTGCTTGTGGTACAAACAGGGCTTTTATTGATGGGTTTATATTCAAACTGAGCACTTAATTCTAATAAGATAGCAACCACACTGGCCTTATCTCTGAGTACAAGGCCAATCAAAACTTAAAATACAGCTCAAAGGTTGCAAAAACTTAGTTCTGTGTGAATAGAGGTAAGAAAATTTCTAATTCTGAGCTGTGAAGAGATGCTTCAAATAGCAAAGGAAACTCGGACCAGAATGGAGGAATTCTAGTGTCATGCTTATTCATGAGACGTTGTACTTCTTGTAAGAACTAGGAGAACTGATATCAGCACCATATAATGAATCATAAGGAAAAGGTAAGTGTTTTCAGCTTATATATGTTGGTCAGGAAAAGTCAATTTTCATATTAGGTACAATATATTATTAAGCCTTCTTTAGATTTTGTTTCAAAATCAGGTGGTTCGTTCATATTCTTCAACAATAAAGCTCCCGCCAACTATAGGTGCATGGAGGACAGAAAAACATATATGAGGATTGCATAAACACATGTAGCAGTGGAAAGTTTGGTGGACTGGAAGCCAAGCAAGAATGATAACTGAAAGCTTATATTTTTAAGGTTTGTGTTTGCCATAAGTCAGCTTCTGAATGCCAGATATGATATATTTCCTCTCTAATTGATTTCTTTACTGAGGTCAAAATGACAAATAATTGTCTCTGCTTTGTATTCAAACTTTGTGGAACCTGAGGCTGATTTTCTTTGTAAGGAGACTCAACTAGTGAAGTGTTTCTCTCTGCATTTTGCATCAATACAATTAGTAAGTAAGAGTGCATCTATTCTGGGAATTGGAACATCCAGGAAAATTCCTTTGATAGGTTAAGATTTACTCATAAAAATGAGTTCCTTTCCTGCAGACCTTGTTTGCTGGAACATTTGCTCTTATTCTGTAGTTGTTGCAAACAAAAATGGCAGAACTGTGGGATTAGCCCTCCTTAATTTGGATATGCCTCACCATTGTACAAAATATTGCTACGAGGCAATAATACTAACCATGTGTATCTGACAAGTACATGTTTTGGCCAATGTTGAGGATCCCAGAACTGTTTATGGATATCTGGATGAATTTCAATGTCTGTTCTAGTGAAGGAAAAGTAGAGGCTGAGGTCCAACAATTGAATTAAAAAAAAAAAAAAAACAACAGATCAACTCTTATAAAGCAGTCTTCACATGTCTAAGAAAATGAACAATGAATATTTTTATTTGAAATTCACAGATAAGAAAGGAACTTGGTTTCTCGTCTGACGAAACAACATTTTTAATACCCATCCAAGTCCAATAATAACGATCTACAAATTCCCTGGAATTCATTATAGCTTGTGCCCTAACTCACTCTCACTTAAAAGGGAGAATAATGGAAATGAATTTTTTAGCTATCACAATTACATACTGCCTGAAAAGTATCTGGGAAGCGTCCCATTTTCTTTTTCCAAAAACAGGGGAGGCAAGCAAGCAACTGATAATCATCTTAACATCAAATTCAATGGAGATTTGAGACCAACACAACCATACATACGAATAAATCTAAAAGGGAAATATGGATATTACTGCTTCGTACATGATCACTGATCACTTGTCTATATTAATGAGCAAGCTAATACACAAAAGGTAAGAATGATATTATGTACAATGGTGAGGCATATCCAAAACTTTGGCAATGACACTAAGCAAATTACCACCTGAGTACCTCTGAATGACAAAGAATTTGACAAAGAAGCTAATGTAATTACAAATCTATTTATGATGTTTCTCTAAGCAGTTTTACTAATATCCAGAAAAATGAAGAAAAACATTGAGTTTCAAACACGTCTAACCAAATGGACATCAATCATTGGAACCTCAGAACTTTTATGGTCTATCAGATTATCAGAAAAGGCTACAGAATCAGAAACTTCTCTCTTCCAACTTGAAATGATCTGCATGGAATTAAACCTTTTAGCATATAACATATAAATAGCAAAGCTGTTACAAATTAACACCGAATTGGAATCCAACATAAAGCAGAAGCTAGATAGTTGATTCTTATACACTGAAAATAGACAAGCCTGAGCGTAATTGATTTGGCAATGTTATAGTAAACGAAAACAGCCACATACTATCAATATAAAGAAACTTCCATCCATACATTTGTAAATATAATTTCTTTCAATATCTAGCTCGAATTCAACCATATCAACTGTCTTTAGTTTGAAAATATAGAGCATATAACGTACATAATGAACTTACATTTTGTAAGGATTGGCGCCGGCATAACCAGTGGGGGGCTTTGCAATCGGAATCAAAACCTGAGATAAATTAAGAACCCCAAATGAGAATCGACGAACTACAAGAGAAAAAGCAGATAAATTGACGCCGAAGTGGGAAGTGGGTACCTCACGATTAACGGCGAAGATGGGGCAATGTTTTCCGATCATGCCATGTCATGCCACACGGTTCTGGACAGAAACCATGAAATCAAGAGACTTAATATCACAGAGAAGAAAAAGAGAAAACGGAAGAACATTGGAAGACGAAGGTGCAATGAAAGGCGAGATAGGAATACAGGCGGAGTGGTGTTGACCCATTTTGCTCATCGGGAGGATGTCGCCGGGCCTGTAAACGGAAGCTATGGAAGAAAACGAGAGTGACAGTAGCTGCCATTCGTCGTCAACCTCTTGGCGGCAGTTGGGAATTGGCTAATGGCCATTTGATTTTTTTTTTTTTTTTTTAGCCAAAGTAAAAATGTGGGGATAGGGGAAATATGAAATAAAGAAAAAAAAAAGAAAAAAAAATTAAGATATGCTATTATTTCTTGGTTTTTCTAATAGACAATAGTATGATCGGTCGGCGGATTTTTATACTTAATTCATATAAAGAATAAAAATTGATATTGAATTTATTAAATATTTAATCTAAATCATATACATGACATTCATATTAAAAATAAGATGTTAGTATAATGTAAAATGTTCTTCTAAATTTTTTTTTAGAGAATTTGTCTAAAAATTCACTTTTTAATTAATATTTTTAAAAAATTAACTACTAAATTAAATATTCTATTAATTTAGATGATGTATGTCAATTTTTATTTTTATATAATACTTATAATTGTTTATCGAAGAAATTATATTTATTGATATATATTTAATGATATTAATTTTTGTATAAGTAGTGAAGTGATTAGGTCTATTAAAATAATCTAAAATTGATTTACATGATCTATATAATTATAACTTTCAATTCAATGATTGATTTTTTAAAATATTAATTAAAAGATAAATTGTTAAACATGTCCACCAAAAAAATGTGGGAAGTTTCACCTATTATTTTAGTTAGATTTTGTCATGATTTCAACATTTTAGGATGGCAATTGAAACCAAAGCTGGGCAAATTATATTGTTAGTCACAAAACTTTGTAGTAACTTTCATTTTAGTCACACTCGTGTTTTAATTTTATAAATTTTGTCATCCGTTTTAGTTTTTACTTCCATTTAATCACTCAATATCGTTAAATCCATGATATCGATAAATTATTAGTAACTTGAATTGGACAAGGGTAGCTCTTAAAGTTGGAGGTTGGACAAGGGTAAATAAAGTGTTGAGTTTTACAAATTAACCGTTGATTAAGATGAAAAGAGTAACATAGTATTTGACTTATTCTTCAAGGTAAGATATATAGAAGATTTCAAAATACAACTTTTTTCTTTTTCTTAGACAATTTATCATAAAGAAGGCTCAAACCAATTCAAAAAATAAAAAAATACACTTCAACGTGACAAAATGCCACTTGACCTTTAGGGTCAAGTGCGAAAATACAATCTATTTAGATTAGTTAAAAAATTCCGTCGTCGCTAGTCACCGCAGCTTGAGTTGGAAGGCTAAAATCCGGCCGTACTACGCCGATGAAGGTACGGACAGCCTGATCTGATGTGATTTCTCTTTTTTTTTTTTTTCCTTTGACTTTCCAAGTCATTTTATGTGC